TTTTATTATTTTTATTTTTTTTTATTGCTACTACAGTTTCAAGATTGTCAGGGTTTACATGAAATTCCTATTTTTCCAGGGGTTTTGTGTAAAATGTATTCCGAAATGAAACTCCCTTTAGAAACTTTTAAGAAACCTTTAAAAACTTTAGAAACTTTGTTCTTATGTAATTTGCTCTATAATTTATGCCTGGTTCCCTGGGGCTGTGAGCTGGCTGCCTCGGGCCCTGCCAACACATAGGAAGGAAGGTGGATGGCTTCCAAGGAGCTGCTGGTGGTTTACCTGCAGCCAGGGAGCCTATTTGCACTGGCAACTTGCTAAAATCTTCCTGCAGCTCATCCTTCCCTCCTCGCCAGCTGAACGATGCTCTGTTTGGGGAGACGATGATGTATGCTGCAGTCCCACGTTAAAGCAGCTCTGTGCCTTGCCAAGGAAAGCTGTAGGTGGTCTCTTCTGGAGACCTGAGCTCAGCGAAGCAACTCTGAGTTAACCAAAGGGGTTGTTTTGGCCTACGAGCTTTGTAAAGGACTTTTAGCACCTCACAGCTTCCTGCCTGAAAGCTGTGTTAACAAATACCTGCTTGTTCCCCAGCGCTTTCATGTAGGAAGGGGGAAGCATGGACCTTCTCTGCACATGTGGGGTTTTAAGATCAAAAATCTCTGAGGAACAAATAGCAGGGGGATTGCAGAAAGGCAGGGCTTGAAGAACAAGCAAGTGAAGCAGACTCTGTGCCGTCCTGTTCTTAGATAGCCACCTTGAGGGATCTTTCTGCCTCCCTAGTGTTTGCTACCTGGGTCTCAGGGCTCTCAGTCTTTCTTCTGACTATCGTCCCTCACTGCCACAAATGAAACTGGGCTTTTTTTTCCTGCCCCTGCTGGGTGGGGGTCTCCATGTCCTTCATGTTATGAACTGTTATGTTTGATCTTCTCTACGGTGATGAAACCCTGGACCCCTTCCCAAGCCACGATCCACAAGGAATGTGGACCTTCATAGCCTGATGAGAGCAGGAGCAGCTGGACCTCCCCAGATCCCAGAGACATCTGCTAGGTGTGTACAAACAAATTAGTGTCAGCACAACAAATTCCTTGTCCTTGTTGTCCTGAGACCTACTGTGTATGCTCTGCCTGCCTGATCTGGATACACATAGTGGATTTAACATGTAGGGACTGTGCTATACATGTATAATCAGGGACGAGCTGCACAACCTGTGTGTGTCATCTTGGCCATGGTGTCCTGAGCATCCTATCAAAGAGACTTTTCTCCTCATTCAGTGGGGTATCGAGACTAAAATGGATGATGCGAAGTTGGTACTTGTGCATTGCCTAGACAGGAAGATGTGAAGGAGATGCTGGTCGCTCACCACACATCCTGGAGCTGGGCTGGTGAAGCTGGGATCAGAAGGTACCACTGGGAGCAGGGAAGGACGGGCCCAGTGCTGCAGGTCCATGGCAGTGAGGCAGCTGAGGCTGTGCATTGTGCATGGAGCTGCTCACGTGATTCCCACTGAGCCAAAATATTCTTTCAGAAAGAGAACTGACCAGATGTCTTATTATTACTGCTCACAATGCTGTGCTCAGAGTACAACAATCCATCAGGGGGCTCGGCGCAGCCCTACAGAAAAGTCCCTGACACATTTTTACAGAAGGGCCAGGTTCTCACCACTTGTGTGCATTAGTACTCCTTGACAAATAGCTGTTTGACTTCGGTTTTGTTCAAAGTCACAGTAGTGTCAAGCACAGGGCTCCTATTCAAGTGCCCACCAATGGTGGTCCACAACTCATTGCTTCCTCTTCTTTTCTTGCTTTGTTTCTCTGTGACAGTCACTCAGGGACTTTTTTTTTCTTACTTTCTTCCTTTTATTTTTTTTCCTGCTCACAGATCTCATAGTTGTTTTTTTTTTTTTTTTTAAACAGATAATTTAAAAGGATTTATCCGCAGCAATGCAGTGCCTCTAATAAGGACTGTAGAAATGGCTCAGGAATGTATGCTGTGAGGAATTTACATTTATATATTGCTGATATAATGCTTGCTTGATTTTTTTTATTTTTTTTTTTTAGGTAATTTTTCCAGCAAGTTGATTACTAGATTGGCAAGCAGAGCCTTGGATATGTTACAAAATGCAGCTCTTTCTACAGTGTGTTGTCTCATCCTTAATGGATTGTTCCTCTTAAAACTGAGAGGTGTGTTCCTAAGTGGTGTGAGCACTTCAGGTGTGTGGTGGAATTAGTTCCAGGTTATGAGCTATGGTGTTTGTCCTGCTATATAAAACTTTTAGGCAGGACGTTGAGTTGTCCCTCTGTTATATGTCCCTCTGTTTCAAGTAGATTAAGACTGCAAGGACTAAAAGATTTATAGGAAATATAGGAAATCTAGCTGGGAGTGGAAGCATGGCCAGGAATGCATGTGCACAAGGAAGGGGTGTCTGAATATAACCTCCTCCAGAGGTTCATTATTTAAAAGTAACACCCTGAAGGGTGTCACAGGCTGCAGCAACTGGCAGTGGGAGCTCCCAGAGGGTGGGTGAAATCCATGCATGGCAGTCAATACAGTCCTGCCGCATAGTGCCAATATGACTTTTCTCCTGGTTATTATTATTATTATTATTAATATTATTTGATTTTGTAATTGAGGAGTCTTTCATATTCTCCAGATGGTGACTTTCTGCCATACTTCACTTTCTGTCTTCAGCAAGTACTTCGTGTGCTCAGAGAGGATTTTCCATCACTTGAGCCTGAAATGAAAGAAAATTTATGGAATGGGGAGCACGAGCAAATACCAAAGTGTGTATGTAAGCGTTTGCAGGTCTGAGATCTAAGTATGCAAGTGGTCTTGATCTTCTTAAGCCGCTCCATACCACTAACTCCGAAGGCTGATGTGAGAACCTGCCACACCGTTTGCACATTTTCAGATGTCTTGTCTAAGGAAAGCTTTCTCACTGCATTGATCATGCATCATCTTCCAACCACTGCAGTTCTCGGCCTGTTTAATAGATTTGCTGCTACCCAGCACCAGCAGTGGATGCTGAATGTCAAATTGTGGGTGCAGGAGATTCATTACCTTCTTATGATTTTACTCTCAGTTCTCTTAAATTTTGGCAAGTACGTTATGGTGTGTCTGACCTATTATTGTTTCTTCGTCTGACCTGTTGATGCCCCCCAGCTATGTATCATCATAACCGAGGTCTTTGGTGGCCCTGCTTGTGCTCTTGTACTTTCTCTAGAGCTTAGCTCTCAAAGCTTAGCCTTCAAAGTCATCTCACAGCACACTGCAAACTTTTTTTTTCTATCCAGGTGAAGCCCGAGGGGTCTTATGGCAGATAATGTGAGTGTCTCAACTGGTAATTGTAAAGTTGGGTTCTGTAATTAATTTTTCCATAAAACTCTCAACCTCAAGGTGAACCTTTATCCATGTATTAATTAGCATGGGGGAAGGATACCCTTGTCCGGAGGCAGAAGGCAGAAATGAGAGTGGGGAGGAAAGAGAATTGGCTGCTTTGTTTGAATGGCAAATATTGTTCCCTTTGTGTCTTAAGACGTAAAGAGCCATGTGAAATGAAAGTTTGGTTGAAAGCAGTGTAATTTTAGCTCTTAGAAACACAGGCATAAAAAGAATCAGAGAAAATAGTCCTGGAATAGGCACCAGAGACCCCACAACCCCACCCAGTAGATTCCTGTCATTCCAAGTCAAGCTCAGCTATACCTGTGCGATTCCTCACAGAAGTTTGTTTAACCTGTTTCTGGGTTTGGGAACCATTGAAATGTTGCCTTCCCCCCACCCCTCCCCAAACAGGAGGCTCAGAAGTGTACACAATTGCTTGGATTCTCATGTTAACCTCTGTGAGCTATGGCTTTGGGAAAAGCACCAAATATTGCAAGAACTGTTAACACTTCATTATTTGCATAAATTATTTTTTCTTTTCTTTTCTTTTTCTTCTGATTTTTTTTTTTTTAATAGCAACTTGGAACCAGTTTAAACTCCTGCAGTGGAGGGTTCTGTCAGAGAACAGATTTTTCACAGATCTTCATGTGGAATTGATTATCCACTCTTGTGAGCTGGAGTTCTTCATGGAAGGACAACTTGGTGCATCTCCATGTAAATCTATGGGCAGCAGGGCTTCTTCTGCCAGATGCAGAGGAAAGAGAAAAGTTCCCTGGGGATGAGATTAATATCTAACAAAAGCAGATAGTGTATGACAAATCTTATTAATACTGAGAATTTGAAATCTGCTGAGCTGGAGAGGATGGCATTATGTCCCCATAGCAGCTAGTAGAGAGATCTGCGTGAAAACCATGTAGCTTTGCAAAACAAGAAATGTGGATTAAAGAAAAGTTGAACCAGATAGTTGAAGTGTTTGTCAATTGGCTGCACTAGCTAGAAACAAAAAGCAATTTCAGTTGACCCTGTTGAAGGCTTTGGGGGAACTCTTGGGAGAAAATGTTAAAATGATTTTGATCCAATGTCTTTTGTTTGCCATGAAGTGTAAAACTAGATTTTTTCAGACTATCATGTAAAAAAAGACATCTTTCTCCCCAATAAGAACTGAAGGAAACTCAGAGGCTGTTTCAACCTGAAATAAAAACGTATTTCAAAATGTTGGAATGAGTTTACCTTTATCAGACCTTTTTCTCTTTTATTCCTTTTGTCTTCCCTCTGCTTGTCTCTGAGCAAGCGTCGTGCTTATGGAAGAAAAAAGGTGATGCCTGTTGCTTCCACTCAGTTGCTAACATGCTCCCCTTCACCCCTCGTATGATCCTGGCTTTTCTCCTGTTTTGGCTAGATGACCTCTCCTCTTTGTGGAGTGTCCCTGCTCTGTAGTTGGGGCATAATGGCTGGACTTTACCCCTCTCCCAGATTTTGTGCTCAGAAACCAGCCTGTAGCTGCTAGTTGTGACTGTAATGTATTGCAAAACACAGCCTGGGGTGATAGGTTAGAAATCAGCTCACAGAAATGCCACCTTTGCAAGTGATCACAAGTCTATTTGCCACCTTCTGATCTGGGCTGATGGCTACCTTTTGAAGACCCTGACGGCGATTAAGGGATGCACTATGATTACATTTCCAAGCCTCCACTACTCACATATCCCACTAGAAAGTTAATGGGAGAGAGATGTGTTTTAACTGCTATGAACCACTTTGGAGAAATTTAAGTGTAAGTGCATTAAGACATGATTTATTTTCACCACTGAGCCTTGAAATTTCTTCCAGGGGGATCCCAGCATGCTTGTATGTCTTGGCTCCACGGGCTATGGGGACGCTGAGAGATTGAGCTATCATGGGCAGTTCTGATTTGTGGGGTTCCTCGAGGCAGGCAGCTTCCTGATGGGTGTGATTTTTGTTTTTGGTTTGTTTTGTTCATTGCAAAATTCTTTGGCATGACGCCTTTCACCTTGTCTCCAAGTGAATGTTTTTCCTCTGCGTCCCACTCAGTGACTCAGGTCAAAGGCATCTTATTTAGCACAGTATGTTTCTTGCTTTTTGCTTTTGCCAGATGTGCGTGAGCTCTAGGAAGAAAACTGGAGTGGAGGCAAGTGTAATGAGTGGCTTTGGTGCTCTGCTGGAAGGGGAAAGGAGACAAGGCTTCGATGTAATGCTGCAGAGCTGGGCTGGAGAGCAGGTAACCACTGAGATATTTAACTCTGTAACAGTGCTGGCAAGAATTTCAGATGAAAATACCATCTTTTGTACTTCCTAATGACATGATAAATCGTGATGATTGAGCACAGATCCCCGTTAGAGACAGCCTCATGAACCACCCTGCCCAGGCTTCTCCCACTGACTGGCCATGGTTTGTCACCCGATGCTACCCTGCAGTGTGGGGACATGAGATTTAAAGCTGAGCCAACAGCTTTCGACTCATTTCAACACGCAGAGTACCAGGCATTTTCTTGCAGACTCCCACACAGTGAATTTAAGCCTTCTGACAAGAAATATGCATTTCTTTTTTTTTACGTTTCAGAGACCTATCCGTAACCCGTAGCTCACCAGGGTCTGCAGGGCTGAGACTGAGAAGTGCTGCATCAAAGGAGCTGAGCACTGAAGTCACGGCTGAGAAGGAAATGAGGGTCTAAAGTCCCAAACTGGAAACTTCCCAGGGCTCCCTACCTACCTCCCACCCGACGCTGTGAGTACCTCTTCTCATTCTGGTTGATCCTGGAGCCCTTAAGGTAGCTGGAGGTTCTACCTCTGCCTTGGTCTTAGCAGCCTGGAGTTTATCTAATGACAGGGGCTGATCAGGACAAAGAAATCAAATGTGTGCACGTCTCTGCTCAGCTGGTCAGCCTCCCCAATGTAAGCTTATGGGATGAAACCTCCTTGGAAAATCCAGCTGTGGTTCTGTCCCTTGGCCACGGAGCTGCAGGACACGATGTCCTGACTCTCCTCCTGCTAAGGCTTGTGTTGAAACACTTGCCCAAGAGAATAAGCAGCCTGGCCCGCTTCCCTTTTGTTACACAGCCTGAAAGATCCCCGCCACAACTCCACCTCTGAAACAAGGCCACTGTGCAAAAAGGCAAGACTGATGGGCAAGGAAAGCAATGAGTGGCACAAGGGTCAGCTGCAGTGCTCGCTGCTTGTACCTGGGGACTTTGTCTCTCCCTGTGCACGGCAGGGGTGCTGGCCACTGGGTCAGGATTTCCCTTGGGAGAGCCCAGCACCATCCACGTCTCCCTGCAGGGACTCACTGGGCTCAAGCCACATCAGATTTCCAGCTTGGACTCTCCACAGCCAAAGCGAACCAAACCCTTCAATACTTTTGACCACCCTCGGATACTGTGATGATGAGCCCAGAAATGCTTGGATTATTATTATTATTAGCTGCTAATAACCATGGAGGTACGCCAGCATTGGGAACAGCTCGTGCTGTCATCAGAACATGGGGGAAATGGCTGGCTGAGCAGTCATACGCCTTCATGTAGATGTTTCTCTGCTGATGTGCTCAAAATGGTGGATGCTCTCACGTGGCTCCTACTTATTTCTGATCCAGCACTTGAAGTCCTGGCCCACGTGCAAGTCAAGCTGGCTTTATCCAATTTACTCTTTCCTATATGTCAGGCAACGCCTTAGTCTGAAGTGAGAAGGAATTTGCCTCTGGTATGCTGAGAATATGGATTTCTGACGATTCCTTGCTAAAATGTTTCTGACTGAGGCTCTGGCCTCTTGCTTCCTGGGGTACATGCCTCACTTTGCACTGACTTGCAGAGAAAAATATGTGATGGCAGTTTGAAGGATTTGCATTGTGCTTTCCATCCTGCTACCAAGCCAGATGCTTTTCCCCTAGGCAGATCTCTCTCTCTCTCAATCTCTCTCTTTTTTTTTTTTTTTTTTTTTTTTTTTGCCTCCCCAAGTTAAGACTTTTAAATGAATTCCTACTGGTAGTTTCCTCCCTTCTTTTGTGTTGTGCAAGGAGCTGGCACTGGGCTCAGGACTTGTAATCCACAGATGGTCTGATGGCTCTATGAAGTAACAGGGAGAAGGAAAGGCAGGGGGAATTTCTGTGTATTTGAGAGGAACAAGGATCTGCCCGAGCAGTGTACGATGTTGAAGCACATCTGCTTTTGTCTACAGCGAAGTACGTACACCACACCCCTTCATAATGGAGCTATAATGTTAATTAGAGCTGATAGGGAATTTCCCAATCTTTGATATACAGTGATTTTTGCAAGATGAATTTTCCAGCTGAAAACACATTAAAAGACTACAGGGGGAAGGGAAGGGAAGGGAAGGGAAGGGAAGGGAAGGGAAGGGAAGGGAAGGGAAGGGAAGGGAAGGGAAGGGAAGGGAAGGGAAGGGAAGGGAAGGGAAGGGAAGGGAAGGGAAGGGAAGGGAAGGGAAGGGAAGGGACCTTTTAATACATATCTAACCTTACTTTGTCATGCAGAAATCTGGCATCTGTTCTTATTGAGACCCCAAGGCTCCCTCACTGCAGAGGTAAGAGATGAGGGCTGCTGAAGGCTGGCCACTACAGCTGACTGCTCCCTGTGGACTACAGAAGGTGGCTCGGCACCTGCCTCACTCTAATGGTTAAAGCTAAGTGGGTGAGTGCTCTAAGTGGTGTTTCTGAGGTCAGGCAACAAGTCTGCACTCACACCTGCTGTTAGAGATCGCTTGTTCCAGCTGAGAATAGCTTCAGCCAGTTCGACCTCTCCAAAGCAGAGTTAATGTGCTCCTTGTCCTCATCATCAGTGCTTCCACCACCAGGAATGGAAGGGGAGGAAAATGGAGCCGAGATCGTGTAGCATGGTCATAACAGGAAAAATGACTGAAACCGCATCCATTTCTGTCTCGCCTGTGACTTCTCAGCTGTCTGCGAGTAACTGGAGTGCTGCTGGGAATAGCAGGAATCTGACTGCCATCTCTGCTGTTCTCTGTCAAGATCAGGCAGCTCTGAAAGAAATTAGAAATGGATGTTATTGTGTTTGTTTCATCTTGCTGCCATAAGAGGCTGTTCCTCCCCTATGTCCCGGCTCCTGGCTGTCAGAGGGCCGGCTGCCATCTCGCTGCTTGTCTGGTGTCTCGTTGCAGTTCAGCTTTGTATAGCTGGGAAGAAGAGGAGGGAGGAAGCAGCCCCTTTAGTGACACCTCCATAATGACAGGGGCAATATAATCTAAGAGAGGCAAAACATTAAGAAGTCTATTACGTGAGAAGTGTATGACATGATTACTGTAGTTCTTGTTACTTAGCCATAAGGAGCTCTAGACATTGCATGCGTTTTGATTATAACTGCTACAGATGTTCATAACCTGCAAAACTGACCTTTTTGCAACTCTTTGACCTTTAACACATGCTTAGTGATGCAATCTTGGCAGCACCTTGATTTTCTTAGCATTTGGATGCCATAAAATTACAGAGCATCCCAGGCATCTCAAGAAAGTGTGTATCTTAATTTATTCCAGCCTGGAGAATATTCTTAGATTGCTTTGCTAATCAGCCCTTCAAAAGATGTGTATCCTCCATGCTCCCCACCAATTCTAATCCTTGGCTTGGTTAAGGATGCTTGTACGTTATTCAATTACATCAGTATTCTTTATCTTTTGGTGGATGGTGATAATGACTTTGCAAACCATTTAATTCTAATATTTCTCACATGAAAAAAGTCTCTGAAGTCTGGAAATAGTCTCGTTGGTGTTTTCTTAGTGTTTAAAAATAAGCCCAAATGATTATCTGTCCTGCAGACATCATTGCCTCATGCTGCTTCTCCCGTGTGTTTCTCCCATGTGTCCTTCCCTCCACCTGTGTGTTTGTTGTTAATCTTTGGCTTTCCTTCCACTTTCTAACCTCAGAGTGAAAGCCCTGCATAAGCTGTGAATACCAAGCCCTGCTTACATGCCTCTCAGCTCCTCATCTCCTTTCCTCCCTACTATCTCCAACTGTTTTTACATGACGAGTGGGAATCTGGGCAGAGACACCCAGACTGCACCCAACATCTTGGCTCAGGAAAGGTGCAGAAGTTTAAATGAGGCTCAAATTTTGCATTCTTACCCGTTCAGGTTAGAGTTGTTTGGGGAACTAAAAGCAAGATCTTGATGGCTTCATACATAACCTGTGAATTTATTATAGTTAAAAGTATCCAGGGTACTGATCTGATTAAGTTGTCAGGACACAGCAAAACAGGGAAAGCTCCTCCATTGAAGAGCTAGATGAATGAATTCCTTCCATTTAATAAAATTTCCTATTGGCATTTGTGTGGTGTCAACTGAGTAACCTATACTGGTACAGGTGGGACCCTCCTGTCACCCTGTGGTACGTAAACCTCCAGAAATCAGAAACTAAAGTGCCTCCAAGCTGAATGTCTTGAGAAGTCAGACCTTGGAAACTGGGCTTGTTCCCTTGGGCACTTTCCTTTGCTACCAGAAGTGACTCCGTGTTGCTGGGTCATATCCTAAGTTCTTCTCTGCCCCCCTACATGTGTTACCCTGACAGGTCACCAAACAAACAGGAATTTAGCCTTTTTTTTAATCTCAACCTACAGTTGTGAGGGCTTCAGGCAAGGTCACAGACAAAGAACTGAGGAAGGATTTTGCTGTTGAGGATCAGGTTGTGGTTGCTATCTTGACTAAATTAAACTAATCACTGTGCATGACGAGTTTATGTAAAATTAATGCTCTCAGTGCTTTATTGAGTGTTTTCATTGTTTCAGACCCTTTTCTGCGTGTTATCTTAGAAGTGCTTTACATCCCTGACTTTATCTACCTTCCTACAATGGTTGATGTGGCATTTGAGTGATGGGATCTTTGCACCAGTCTTCTGCTTTGGGAAATACATCAGACCAACCCCATGAACAGACCAGAGGCTGATGACATTGCTTTGCCCAGAGGCTGCTGCAGTGGAGGAAGTCTAATCTCAGGCCTCAGCAGTCTTTAGATCAATTCTTCTTCCAAGAAGACCATGTCAACATACTGCTATTTGCTGCAGAGCTAGCAGGAATCCCATGGCTTCTCGTTCAGAGGGCTCTCATGGGTCCATCTCCTCTCCCCTGCTTCTCTTGGCCTACCAGGTGGGATCCAACCCATAACCTGTGTGATCACAGCAGACACCAAACACTAATGTAAGGGCAGAATGATTCTTTTTTGTTGTTTGTTTATTTTGAGCATTGCTTTAAGCACAATGTTGGCCAAAATAGAACTGATGGTAGAAGAGCAAAGAGCTTATGCCTCTCCATGTGAAATGTTACTTCGATTTCCAGCTACTCCCTGCCCAGGGAAATATTTTTTTTTTGCACGTGGTGCAGCCACAGTGTGGCTGTGCATAGCTCCATTATTATCAAGATGGATTTATTACTGCTGAGAAATCTTTCTCCTATCTCATTTCCTGTCCTCCCCCTCCCAAAGTTCACTCTCCCCACCAAAGTGTGGAAGGATTCTGCTTGAAATCCATCAAATAGCAAGACATAAAACCTCAACATCTATAAATTTGGCAGACTGGTTGGCTGTTGCTTGCTTTAACTCCCAGTCTAGGCTTGGCATGGTGGACAGAAATGCCTGGTGCATCTCCAGAAATGCCTGGAGATATTTAGTCTTTTGGGGGCCAGCTATGGAGAGGCTCCACTCCTTGCATGCAAACCAGTTGCCAGGGAAAATGGAAGCCTTCATGTGAGGTCCATTGGCCTCAGTCATATCACATCTCTGAGAGGAGGTGGGAAAGGAAAAATGTTCAGCCAGAAGGAAGGGAAGCAGAGTTGCTGCAAATCCCTCCTCTGACTTCTTTGCTCAGATGCCCACGTGAGGTGATTCAGCTGCTTGCCTGAGGTCTACTAGTAGAGGACAATACCAGAAATAGAGGAATTTTGAAGAAATATTAAAGGTTATGGAAGTAATGCCTTAAGACACCCCGTAGACAGCAAGAGCCACCTGGTTATGCTAGGAAAGGGGCTCTCCATCTCCTACCATGGCCATGCCTGAATGGTGCAAGTATCTGGCTATCGCTTCCCTTGAGGACACCTAGAAGGCACACGTTTTTGGGATCCTGGCAGCCTGCCTTGAAAGCTGGGAGAGGTCCAAAAGACTGCTCTGCCTTCAAGCCAGCTGGGACATGTCTCACAGGTGAGATGAATTTGTTCCTAACCACTATGGTGGAGAGAAACAAAAGTACTCTAGAAACCCACAACACCGAAAGAACAATTACATTTCCATCCCAAGCACCCTGGCACAGGGTTTGTGGCTGGGGTCAGGCAAACGACAGCTACACAGGGTTAATGCTCCTGGGAGAGCTCTGGGCTGTCGTCTCAAGAAGGTTTTCTTCGAGTCTGCGCAGTTCTCTGTGCCCTGGTTACGCTCTGTTACGTTTTCAAACCTTCCCAGCTAGCAGCAGTATTTTTGGAACAGCATCCGTGAAATTATGGTCTTGCTTCACTGCACACACTTGGACGATAGCTGGTTATGGTTGCATCTCATCCCTAGCTCTTTAAATCCAGTGCCCTGCATTTAAGTGCATTTCATTTATTAAAATTTCATGATACATAACCCTTTCCTTTAAAAAAAATCTTTTTTTTTTTCTTCTGAAGACCTGCTCTGCGGTTTAGTCTTTTTTTTTTTTTATAATTGTAATTCAGCATTTCAACTAATTCTCTTTTTAAAAGTAATATGTGCTAGTTATTTATGTGTGTACAGACCAGATTTGTGTGGGCTCGATGCTGACTGGCTGCATGTGTGTTTACAATAGCCCTTGTGTTATCCCAGACGGCAGCCTAAAAACACTTCCAAATTATTCCACATCAGAAGCAAAGAGGGTTTGGATAGACTCCTAGGGGAAAGTCTTGAAGTGTTGCCCAAACCTCAGTCCCAGTGCTGTAAGTCAGGCACGTGGCTGATATTTTATCCACCCAACTTGGACTTTTGCAAGCTGTTTCGTATGTGGAGGGAACAGGAACTTGGGAGCAATTTTAATCAGCGATTTCTTGGAGATGGGCTTCCCCCTTTCCTTTGTCCTCTTTCCTCTTGACACATGTGCGTGCACTCCGTCTGTCCATGTTTTCTCAGAAATGGTGGAAAGAATGTGCACGTAAGCACAATGGTGAGGCTGTTCTGTAACAACCCCCCGCAGCGGGTAGGGACTGACCTGGTTCCAATTTATGCCTTTGGAGTGTTGCTGATTTTATGCGTAAAACGCTTGAATGGCTGTAGGTGGATGTGCGCTAGGGATTTCAAGTTCAACTCTGCCATTAAGGCTTGGTGTTTGTTGCTAATTTCGCTGTGGGCTGGAAAGTTCAAACCTGAATGGTGCTGTAATCACAAGCTGGTAATGCTCCAGAAAGTGTCCCAGGCTTTGTCCTCCTAAGTGTCACAGTGGTGATGATCAAAGCTTTTAGACTGCAACTTCTGTGAAGGGGAAGCGAAGTTTCTGAAGAACTGCTGCTCCTCGGGGGCCTCAGCCCTTGGGCAGGGATCTCCTGGCTGCCCTGGGACTGGGCAGTGCTGGATTTTCCAGGTCCGAACTTCCATGCTAATGCCCTAGGATGTGGTGTCCGGATACCAGATGCTTCCCAGACAAACTGAGCTCTGCAGCCTGGGGAAATCCCAGGAACGGGAGTTACCAGCTCTGTAGCTGTCTCTCTCTGCAGGTCAGCAGTGGCCAAGAATGCTGGGGGTGTGTGTGATCCTACATCGTTTGGACAAAACCAAAACCAAAGCAAAAAAACACACATGCAAAACCAAAAACCAGTGTCTTGGTGTCTCAAAACCAAAGTCCTACGGTGAGATTTCAGTTCTAGAAATATCCACGTTCTCTGCATTTAAACTGAACTAAAGGTGACATTGTTTTCCAAAACTGTTGTCATTATTGTGGCTTGGAAACTCTGTGCCTGAGCCAGCTCTGATTGTGCTCTCCGAGTTACTCAAGGAATGGCACACTTTGCTATTGTAAAGAGTAAATATTGCTTTTTAAAATGTAATTTGAATCCTGTACACGCATTGATTTAGGAATGCAAAATGGTTTTATTACTATCTCATCTCAAAACCTTTTCCTTGACTGTCTGTTACTCTGAGTTGCAAAATGCATTACAGAAACACATCTGTCATGCTTTATAACGTGAGATAAGACATGCTATGATTGTGCTCTCTCTATCCCTCCTCCCCAGAGCAATGCAGAAATCATATATATAATGTCAAGCCTGAAGTCAGGTGCATCGCTCTTTACCCATCTGAGTATTGGCTGAAGTATTGAAGAAGGGCGTGCTTTGGACCAAGAGGAGTCTTTCTTACAGAAACTGGTAATTCTTTTAGTTGAACCTTGAGCAGGGATCATGCTCCAAGGCTGAAAGAAAGAGCTGCGCTTCTTTACAGGTGGCACAGAAGTTCAGAAGAGGGGCACCTGGAAAGAGCATTTTGTCACTCATGGCGGCAAGAGTTGTTATTGCCAGGTCGAATATTTCACAACTGTTTAGCACTTGATTTTGCAGTTCTACCACTCTTTTAGTATTGGTTCATCACTTGACCCAGTACAGCCACAAGGACATTCAGGCAACAGCTTTCACTATAAGCCTTAAAGTGTCCTTTAAAGAAACCTTCTCCCCCAGAGGCTGATGCAGTCAGGATTCTGCAAAGTAAACTCTCAGAAGTTAAATTATTTTGGTAGGAGAAACCTGTAGTGATTGCCCACTGTTGCTGAGGCTCTGAGCAGTTTGTCCACTTTGGGATACGTATACTTACGGAGTCACCTCAAGGGAAAACAAACAAACAAACCAAACCAAAACAAAACAAAAACCAGGTATGGCTTACCCTGGCACAGCACAAGCAGAGCAGCCCACTAGATAGATCCTAAACCTTTGAGCTTGGAAGGAAATCAACAACTACTGGCTTGTTGTCTCCAGTTCCTAGACTCCCCAAGATTCACCGTATCCCATCTTTTTTCCCCGCACTGTGTGAACACATCACTCTAGAAGGAAATGTATTTGATGCTTATGATCACTTGATTCCAGGATCTGGAGCTTTCAGACTCTCATCTTTTCCTCTGCAACTTTATAACAGAAATTCAGGAATCCCGCAATGCTGAGTGACCTTAAAGAGAAAAGCAATAATCGCTCTGGAGCGTGTGCCAATTCTTTCACTCATTAGGGCAATGAAGCTTTTATCACTCGTGCAGTAATGATGCATTTTTAGAGTATTTCACACCTACTTTAAATCTCAGTAAAGACCATGAAACTTCTTTGGTCATGGCCACATGGTATCTATTGTTAAGCAGACTGTTAAAATGAATCAACCTAGATTAAGCAGCCAAAATTACCACTTGCTATCACTACCCTGAATCCATTCCCTCAGAGAGAGCCCCATAAAGAGGCTGAACACTGATTAAACACTTCTCTGCCAAGCAGAGTCCAAAAAAAATCTGGCAAGAATTGCGTGCAGAAAGCTCAGAAAAAAATATATGTAAGAGACGTAAAGGGCTCGATGCATCAATCTGCTTGAATCCAAACCATCCCCTGCTGCAAAATCCTTCGTTAGAGATCCTTCCATCTGCCTGATGAGAGCTTCTGTATTCTGGCCCTGAATTTTCTTGCTCTCTCCCCAGTGGCATTATCTTGTGAGTTCATTATTATTGCTGGCTGTAATTCACACTCCAATACGCAGTGCTATTAGCAAAAAAAGAGAAAAAAACGCTCAGTACATGGCCTTGATTTGCCTCAGAGTTCAAAACAGAGGCTTAAACTCCTTGGAGGATGCGGCTGCCCAGGGCAGGGGTGCAGGCAGGAGGCTCAGCCCTCGTGCCTTCAGATACTTGTGCTTTTAGATGACTTGCTGCCAGAGGAGGGCAAAGAGCATCTTTTTTTTTTTTTTTTTTGTCACCTTTCCCACTGCCCCATTGCAACAGAAGCATCCTTAGAAGGTCCTTTTGGGCTGGGCAGGCTGGATCCTCAAGTGGGAGAGTGCTGCTTTGTGCTGGCCAGAATTCTGGCTCCACAGCCTCCAAATGAAGCTCATGGCTTGTGAAAAGCTGAAGGGTGAGTAGAAGTCCTGCCTACAGGGGAACACAGCTTTGCACCTTCCACCGCCAGGCTGTTTGTTCTTCAACCATGGGATACACTGAATTTGGACAATCTCTTAAGTCACCAAAGCCAGTTCTGAAAAAAATAAAAAAAAACATTGCTTTAATTTTTCATTTTCTTCTTCTCTCCCCTGCCCTTCTCTCTCCCCATCTCTGAAAACCAGCACATGCAAAGTCTTAAGGGAGCAATCGTGGTTGTTCCCAATGAAGGACTGAATCCCTTGGTAATTACAGATGGAAAATGACAAAGTGGGAGTGCTTTCACTCAAACAGAAGGACGTTTCTGCCAAGACTTGGATTGTCTTGGAAGAAGGAGAGTGCTGTCAGGATCACAGGGTGCTGAGCTGCAAGCTTCAGGGGCCAGATCCCATGGCTGGAGGAAGCGGGTGCAATGTCCCTGCCTTCAGCAGAGCTCTGATTTATGTCGGCTGAGGACGTAGCTCCCGTGAAACTCTGCTGGGATCCTGAGAAATGTTGCTGGGTAAAGGCTTGCCTTTCAAAACACAGCAGACGATGTCTGAAAACCCAGCAATCTGTTTAATATCATGTACGGTTCCCCTCCACCAGTGCTGTGTAGTCTGGCCCTTCAGTCCAAGTGACATCTGTTCTGAATAGATGTTATTTTTTTTCCCTGTTGTTTTGTTAAAGGAAAATGTTTTTTTTGTGTGTGTGTGTGTGCCTGGCTAGTTGAGGAGCCACCATCCCAGCTGAGGGATGTGCCGGGCAGCCCAAAGCTGAAGAAAAAGAGGGAAACCCCAAGTTGATCACGGACTACAGATCTGCCCTCTCTTTTTCTGTTTGCCTTTCAAATGGGCTCACAGTGACAGTGGGGAGGTGTAGGCAGAGTGGGGCGTCTTTCTGAAGACAGAGTGCTTCGATAGTCTTTGAGAGATTTTTAATTCCTGCCAACATTTTGCCTCTGCTTGGTAGGTGAGATGCAAGTTGGACTCCAAAGAGGAAAAATACCTCCCTGAGTGGCAAATCCCAAGAGCCTGCTGTAGCTTTTTGCCAAAAGAAGCTGTAAGCAGAGATAAGCAGGTTGCTGATAACAGATATCCTTATTTCCCAGATAAATGCCCGTTCTTTCTTAATTTCTTCCAAGCTCTGCCTCAATATCTTACATCCTTCAGAACTCGCTTTGCTAACAGCATATCATTGCCTCTATTTTATAAGGTGGTGTTTTTATCTGCTAGCCCAGTCTTTTTCTTTCTCCTTGTCTGCACTTCACCTCAAAAAAGACCTTGCCAAGTGTTTGAAACCCTGTGTCAATCACTAATATTTTCTGCAGATGAAAGGTAGAATAATTTGGATTCAAATGTGATTTCAGAACTTAGACATTTTTTTCCCACCCCAGGTTCAAAATAGGCATTAATTGAAGAGAGTTTCTTATATGTACTCTGTTAAACTAAAGTATAACTACTTTTTTTTTTTTTTTTTCAGCAGAAATTTGAAATTATTGATAATGAGATTTCTGGACAACTTCATTTGAAATGCTGATACTTGACAGACGTGAACAATATGGGTAAGGCTGACAACTTGCTTGCAGATGCTTAGTTAGAAATTAATTGTGATTCTTGGAAGGGACTTATTTATCCCTCCTTCTTTCTGGTTCCCTCCACCAACACACTGTATTGTCAGTGCTGATGGAAATCCAACAAACATTATATCAAAGCCTCCTTCTTCTTCCCCGTGACATTGATGCTGGTATAAGTCTGCTCCTGGCCCATCCCAGCCTGCTGTGTGTGCTGCTGCTGGCCCTTGCTCGGTGGAGATGCCCAGGCTTCCTTCTGAAAGCGCTGCCACACAAAACCCAAAAAGCGTGCGGGTCCTATAACTTCCTTGGAGTCAGCCAGCCTTGCATTTTCTGCAGCAAGCTAATGCCACGCTGGTTTAAAAGCTGCAATGCTGGAAGGCAAACAAAGGAGAGGATTAGACCAAACTAGCTCCAGAGCACACATCGCACATACTAATGTCGTGCTGAAACAGGAGAAGGCTGCAAAAACACTGCCCGTGCTTCACTGCTTTCCGAAACCCTGCCTCCTTTTGCCCATCAGATAGGGTGTATTCCGCATTGCTAAAGGAACCAAGCTAATGAGATTATAGCTTATCGCTTTGGAAAATAAAACTGTACCACTGGAAGGATACAGCTTGTATAGGAATGGTGCTCAGCCATCTGTGTGATCACTGGACTCTCCTCCTGAGATTGTTTAGGGGAAAGCACTCAGCCTTGCCAGTGTTCCCACATAGACGGGTCTGCATCTCCAAGCAACAGCCCCGAGCCACTTGACAGCCTGAATTTCATCTCAGCCAGGAGACGGCAGAAGAAAAGTCAGCCTTGGTGAGCAACAAATGTGCAAGATTCAAATTCGGTGTTCCAAATATCACGCATCTTCTTGTATTGAACTGTCGGCGTGGCTGGGTCTGGATGCATGGCAGAAAATTTGCAGTTATTCAGGATTTTCCCCAAAGGCTGCCATCATATTGCACCACCAGATGTGGGGTGTCAGAAGTAGACAGGCTGCAGAGGGGAAAAACCTCTGCGGTAGTCCTCAGTACTGATCCTGTGGACACCTGTAAGAAGAGTTGTGGAGTCCCCCTGCTTCTCCCCACCTCTGGAGCTGTTTCCCACCACTTTTCGTCCCTGCCTGCTTCAGTGCCTGTTTCTGCCGGTTTTAAAAAAGTAGTTTCAGGGTTGCATTTCTTTATCTTTGTTCTGCATGAAATCCCCTGCTATGCAGAGCAGACAGTGCTGCTGGAGAGAGAGAGATCTCTGGAAAAAAAAAAGAGTATTTCCCCACTGCCGTCGCTGCTGGGTAGTGCAGGGGCTATCTCAGCAGCCCTTAACTACTAGCTCAGCAGTAGTTCCAGTGCAGCAAGAGCAGTTGTTAGCACAACGTGCCTCTACGGTGGGCTTGGAGTGTGAGGATTTAACCAGCTGTGGTTGGTTTCCTTATCGATGCGCTACAGGTCTGGCTTATGGGGTCAGGGGATACAGCAGCATGCAGCATGTAGCCCCCTTCAGCCCTTCTGTGAGGAGGTTTTCCTTTCTGCCACCAGCAAAATTGGGTGAAAAGGGACTTGGGGACCCCAAAGAACCAAAGCCAGAGGCACCACGTATGGCACTGCTCCCAGCTGGCTGTCAGACAGCACGTGGGCTGGGGTTTCTGCGCTGGAAATTCCTGTCATTTATGGACTTTTGACTCAGTTATTTTTGGAAAAACATTAGCTCTAGCTTGGAGTCCTGCCTAACGACTCCTGCTGGAGCATTGGTAATGCTCTCTGTTTGGGGAATTCGGAGGCTTCCCTCTTGTGTGTAAGTTTTATTCCTGGACCTGGTGCCAACCTAAGAGCTAATGGTGGTGCCAGTTTTCCATTAGAAAGCTCACCCTAATCCCCCCTTCTGGCTTTATCCAAACAAACCTGGCGTGCCACATTCCTGTTGTCTGGTGTTACAGCAGAGAAACAGCCCCGGAAAGTTTAAGTGTGATGTGGAAAGAAGCAAGATATGGGAGGGGAAACTCAGAGGTGTTCAGCTCTGGGAAAAGCCAGCAGTCTGGTGCAAATCTCCTGCTGCTGGCGATAGCAGTCCTGTTATTCCCTGGGGTCACAGTTTGAGGGCAAACGCTCCCGGGAAGCTCCTGGGAAGTCCTTTTGGGGTTGAGGGTCAGAGGGCAGAGAGGAATGAGAGTAGCTCCGTTTGTCACCAGCGTCAAGGTTCGGCAGAAAGGTCTTCTTGATGAAACCCTTCCCATTTTCTTAATGTTAAACGGTGCTTATCCTTTGCTGGAAACCCCTAGAAATTTATTCTTTTGGTTGAACCTCTGAAAGAGGGAGTCTTTTTTGAGACCAACCATAACTTTGTGCCTTGCAGACGCCCATGTGCTTGTTCTTTCCTCCAGAAAGAAGCTATGGATATTTATAATTATTTCTAATAGTTGTTTATTATTATTTTTATTTTTAAATTCGCAGTGTGCTAATGCCAAGCTGTGAAGCCCTGGGAGGTAGCTTCCCCTTGGGGACTCTCCCAGTCTCCTCGCCCTCAGGTCAGGAGCAGTGTTCAAAATCCCGGAGTTTTCAACATGAATACCTGTGGGCCCTTTCTTTTCAGTTCACAGCTTTTAAAGCAGTGTCTTAGAAAGATTTTTTTTTTCCCCATCTTCACAGAAAAAGACGAGTTTCTCACCTGCAAGTCGAGAACTAAAGATTTTAAGATACTCCAAGCACAAGTTTCAAAGCTGAGTGTTGAATTAAAGGGCTTTTCCTTCTCCTCTCCCCCGTAGGTCTCAGATGAAGCACGTGGGATTTCTCAGCACATCTGAGGTTTCCGTGGTTTATCAGTGCCATCCCTCCTGCAAACACCACTGTCCTGCTTCAGGTCTGCACTGGGAGCTACGGGATGGCAGTAGGATTTGAGGATAAAATGGTGGGGAGGGGCTGAAACCAGGTCTCAGCTGGTGCAAAGCCCCGGAGCACCTTCCCTGCCCTGGCTGGGGATCTGTCTGCAGGTGCCCACATTGGTTTGACCTGCTGCAAATGAAACCTGTGTCCCGAGGACTGACTTTTGCCCCTGCAGACACCCGTCCCACACCCCCAGTAATGAATGGGAGGCTGCAGAGCGCCTGTCAGGGCAGAACTTGCCCTTCAATGTCAATAACTTCTCCGACGGCCTATTTACGCTTTCATCTCCCGGCCCTTACTGCTGATTTATGCAGCTTGCGGAGCTGAGCGATGTGGCAGCTGCAGGGAGGAGGAGATGAGAACCAGAAACCCCGCAGGCTTCCTAGGAGCCGTGTTCCCCAGCAATAAATCTCCGACGGAGGAAAGCCCGCTCTGATCCCCCGTGCGTGCTCCCCTGTGCTGCTCCTGCCACGGGGACGGGACCCAGCACCCAGATGCCGCTCTCCAAAAAGAGACGTGCCTCTTTGTTCCTCTCCTCCCCGGCTTTCCAGCGGGCTGGAGCCAACAACTGTTGGCTGGAAGACGCCGTCGGCTCACCCGTCTCCTGCCGCATTCAGCTGTCAGCAGCTCCCACCAAGAGGCATTCTCCCTCCGTCACGCATGAGCACGCGCGTGTAGAGCTCCCCAGGCACGGGCTGGAGCGCGTGGGGATCACAAAGGAGAGGAGACCACAAAGAAATGCCATCTCTGCCAAGCCAGAGATTCGGGGTACAAATTGCTGCCGCTGGAGATGTGCTTCGCCCCACGGAGCTCGTGGAGCTGGGCTGCGAATCTCACCCTGGGGGCTCCGGGATGTCTCCAGCACCACCGTGGGATGCAGGAGATGTTTGCTCCTTATGTTGTGTGAGCGAGGGTGGTGGAAGCGGTGGGCAGGATGAGGTTAGGTGATTGCTGTCCCTAAAAGTGTGCTGCCTGTCACCTGAACCCGCTGTCACCCTCCTGGTGGTCCCTGGTGGATCACAGGGTGGTGGGATGGAGCCCATCTCGCCATCTCCTCCCAGGACACTTTGGAACAGGGATGAGGTGCCTCATACACATCTATTTTCATTATTTAAATGAAACGGGAGGGCAGCAATAATGTCCTTTAATGGGGAAACACACCGATGGAGCACAGCAGAACTAACACCAAACACACCACTTGTTGCTGTGACCGTTCCCTTTCCCATTCTCCTGAATTACCTACCGAGCATTTCCTAAATTTGCTTGCATGCTAAAATAACCGAGTAATGAACTTTTTTTTTTTTTTTTTTTTCAAGGAAATGTATTTTTCTCTAAACTGGAAGGCCTTCTCCCATTTGTGGTTTTCTTTATCAGATTACCAATTTGCTTTCCCAAAGGGATTACAAGCTGTATACCAGGATCTCTATGCAGGGGAGCAGATAAACAAATGAAACATGCAAATTGCTTGAATTTTCAGTGGGTTAAAATAAGCTGTAGTGAACAAAAAAAAAATAATAAAATATATATGTATATATATTTTAACAGGCTTCTTACTGAATGCACAGTCTGGCTTCTGGCATCTGAACTTTTAACATAGAAAGGAAAACTTACAGCTGTTAGCACAGAGGCTGGCAATGTTTTCTCTCCTTTCTGTTGTTACATCTCTCACCTCCTGGAGTAGGTTTGCTTGGGTCCTCATCCCACCTCCTGACACTTCCCCATGGCCTTCTCCAATCCTGCCCTGCAAATAGGTGAAGGTTTGTCTCAGGGCGCAGGAGTGGTTCTGTCCAAGCAGAAGGATGTCCTTACAGGACGATGTTTCAAGCAGGACATCTCTGGAGAGAATCCTAGGGAAGGTTTGCTCTCCTCCAATGGGGAATTTTGGTGGTGCTGGTGAGAAGATGTGGGGTTTCATCTGCAGTCACCAGGTGTCAACCTTCCAGGTTTGGTTTGTGGGGTTATACATGGCCCAAGAATGGCTTTGACAATGCTGGTGTGAGTCTCATGTGCACATAGCACTCACAAGATGACAGGGATAAAACCTTTTTCCCACTACAAACTTGCTATCCACATCCAAACCAGAGGTGGCATCTGTAGATGTGGCTGTGGATGGGGTGCAGATGGTCCGCATCGTGCCTCCTCCTTCTGGCTGCTGAAAATCACCAGAGGCTCCCCTGGGACTGGGATTTAACACCTGCCTCGTGCTCAGGATTGCTCAGCTCGTGCTCTTCAGCTGCTCTTGCTCATGGTCTGTCCCCAGCAAACCCGTGCTTGGGGTGTGCACCTCCAGCAGCGTAGGGTTGAAGACCCTGGGAACACCCAGAAGAGACATAGGGCTTCCCCTAGGTACTCCTCAGCTTGGGCAAGGGAAGGAAACCCCATCTCCTGAGTCCCAAATCCAGGCTTTGGGGTCGGGGCTGTCCATTTATAATAAGCTATAGGCTCACTCTGCTCTTCTAGAGAAGACAGCTGGCGTGGTTTCAGTGCAGAAGTTGAAGTTTAGGGTTAAGAAACCAAGCGGAGTTAGCGCCCTGCTGATTTCTGACTGCCGAAGGCCCTCAGTCTATTAATTTCTGAGGAAAAAAAATAAAATAAAGGAAGGTGGATTGAAATGAAGAGAAGTGGTGCAGTCCAGCCCGAGCCCCGTGCCTGAGGAGCTGGGGAAAACGCGTCCCATCTCTTGGTGTGATGCCACGAGGCAGGCAGAGCTCATCCATCAGGCTGAGGCACGCACCCCAGCCTTCTAATTAGTGAATATAACCAGGGGGGTTTGGAGCTCAAACTGGTTCTGACCTGTATTTTTTAATTAAGGCATTTTTTTAATATAACCCTGCTTTGGGTCATCTGATAATACTGATCTGGATGTAATGCCTAACCTTCTTAACCCGAGACTGTTGCTTCTGCACTTTAATGCCAGCCTCGCAGAAACATTACCCCGTAAATTAGATGCCAGGTACTTGGAGGAGCAGGGCCAGCTGCGCATTATAATGCTTTTAACGAATAATTGGATGGGCCCTGACGATGGGCTCCCAGCTGACGGTCTGAGGCCTCCTATAAAAGCACAAAATGCTTATGTTTCCCTCGTTAATGCTGCTTCGTTCCCACTCGGTCTGCTCGCCAGGAGGTCAGAAGGGGGTCCTGGCTTCCCCTTGGGAATCCCATGCGTGGAGGCAGCTTGCACCAAGTAAGGTCAGTGCCTGCGGGGACCATCCCAGATCTTTGCTCTCAGTCAGCATCTCAAACGCCCTCGTGGTCACCTATTCCCCTGGTTTCTTGGAAATCCATGGGGAATTGGGGTTTTCTGCGTGTCTGGTTTTGGCTGCACAAAGTCCCTGAGGCACCAGGCGTGGCGAGGCTCAGCTCAGATATTTGATAAGCTTTGCCTGCACAAAAGCCTGGTGGAGGAGATCCTTGTTCCTATTAGCAGACAGAGCAATCGATGAAGTCAGGGGATTAACAAAACAAAACTGAGCACTGTATGGTTTTATGGGAGCCTTTTTATGGGTCTTTACTTATCCTGTGTTATTCTGTGCGTAGCAGAATCGCGGGGAGAAATGCTAATTCAGTGTTTTATATAGGGAAACAGCATGCTAAGTGCATTCCTTAAGTCTGTCCAGAAACCACCTCCTGCAAAAATTCATGAAAAGCACATGTAATGCCTTGTCAAGCTTGGCTCTTTTATCTGGGATAGCTAAAATATTTTCTCTAGAGGAAGAAAGGTTGCAGGCTGCCTTTCTTGTTTGCCTCTTTCTGGATAAAGATCTCCCGAAGGTGGGAAAAACACTTTCTTGCATCTGAGAGGCACCCTCGGTGCCCAGTGGTACCAGGGGATTATAAGTGGTCTCTGGGGCTGTGTTTCATTTCTCTGTCACTTGTGAGCAGGCTGTCGGTGCTGGGGGTTGTTTCTTGCCCACCAGTTCTTGTAGCACTCTCAGGAGTGGCCAGCATGGTGTAACGAGGCAGAGAAAAATTTCCTTGACATCTTAAAAAAAAAAAAATTATAATTGAATGAAAGAGCCTCAACACTCCAAATCGTTCCCACCAGCTCTCCAAAGCACAGCGGTTCAAACATTCGTGGCTCAATTTACCACCTATCTGACAGAGGCAGGGGCGTTTATGACACATTCTCTGCATTCCCTTGCTGGAAGTGCCGTAAAATTGGACTTTTCCCCTTGTATGTGATGCAGAGAATGACTCACATCTGGAAAATTTACCTTACAGCTCGGTGCTGAGCTCTCCTTACAGCAGCTTACCTAAAGGAAAGCTCAGGCACGGCCGGATCCCTGTGCACAGCTGCTCTGAGGGTGTGAGCGTGCAAATGAGCTGTGGTGTAATTAGGGTTAGTTCAAGGCAGGGTGATGGCAAAAAAAACAGAAAGACATGGGCTTTTGTGGGGGCTCTGCAGGCTCTAGCAAGGGAGAACTGGTAAAAAAAGACATTAGGTGATGCTGAAGGGTCCTGTGGTTGTGGTTATCTGTGCCCAGCAAGGCTGGGTGAAAGCTGTTTGTGACTGCAACCCCACCAGCTACGGGGATGTCGAGCTGAAGGCATGATGTCTCCATTGGGTTGGTGGTTTTTAAGGATGAGAGGTTTATCTATTAGAGTGGACATCCAAAGGGTCTCGTGCATTTGTTCTCAGTTTTCTCTCAGGTTTGTGTCTGTCATGCAGAGGTGGATTCCAAGTTATTGGACTCGATGTAGGAATTTCTGGGTGAAAAGCATGACCTGCCCTAACGCAAGGGGCCAGGCTGGGTGTTTCTAATGGTTTCTTCCTGCTTCCAAAGCTTCTGATTAACTCCGTGTCCTTTCCCACAAGCTGCGAGCCAGGCCCAGGGGGTGACATTCCATGCGACTCACCGGTTCATTCCACCTTCGTTCCTGCATGCCGCTTAATTGTGCGGTCTTAATTGGCCCTGATGCCTTGCACTGGCCTCACTGTGCAGAAAGAGGAATCTCTCCTTTCCCAAACACCTCCTCTCAAGCCAGCAGCCCCAGCTTCCCATCAAACCTGCCCCTATACGCAGCACAACTGCTCTTCTACCTCCAGTGTAGGTGCTCCTACGCCTCCTGATGCTGTAGGAGGGTGTCACAACTCGTTGTCACGTTGGGTGATGTGGTGGAGCTGATCTGATGTGGCAGCAGCTGGCTTGAAATTAAAGAATAAGGTTCTCTGTGCACCAAAGAGCACATCTGTTTCATGGCACAACTCAAATTAACTTGGGGGAATTTGCTGCATCTCAGGTGTCTTCCACGGTGACGTGCCACGGAGAAATGCAGCTGTGGAAAGCCTTTTATGAAAGTTCATCAACCAGAGAGGTTTGAAATTGCTTTTTTTTTTTTTTTAATAATAGAAAAATTCTGATGGCAATTTCCTACACTTGGCTGATTCTGCCAAATCTGTGTTTGTGCTGATTGCGGTTTTATGAGCAGGAATTGCAGGGCTGCATGTCTCTCTGACAATGTCGTATCCTTGGGACCTGCTGGAGGCTACAGAGGGGACTGACAGTGCTACAACATGAACTGGGCAGGAGGATCTCCTGGGGAATTAAAAGCTTAATCCCCGAGGATGTGGTGCAGGGGTCATTTCCAAGGCAAGGAGGCACGAGGCGGCTGCTGCTTGGGTTGCAGAGATGTCTTTAAGCCTGTTCCAGATGGCAGCCCGGCCTCACAAAGTTCACCATCTCCCTTGCAAAGACAAACCTGGAGGGAATAAGGGTCTGGTGGGGGCCTGGAGGAGAGGGTTTCACCCCTTAAACCACGGCCTGGGTTCCCCTAGCTGTCACCAGGTGCTTTGCCGAAATCACTCCAGCACATCCCTTATGTCAAAGGGCAATATAAAGCTTTCCAAGTACTGTTTTTTCCCCTCCTCTTCATCAGAAGCACATCTCTTGTGTGGCTTAAGTGTGGAAAACAGGTTTTGAGCCTCCCTGAGGTCTGCAGAGATTGCAAAACCCAGCAAATCCTCCCTGCAGGGAGTTGGGGTAGAGCGAGTGACACTTGCCCTCCCGTGCCTCAGTTTCCCCACTTGTTGCGATGACAGCAATGACATGGGGTGGGGTCACCCCATTCACTAACACCCAGTTTTCTTATCAAGCCCTGTGTGGTTTCCTTCTCCCCTGTTCCCTGCAGACTCCCAGGGTTTGGGAGGCAGCTGGAGGCAATCTAATAGCTCCCTGCCTTAAAGAAGCAGAGGTTTCCCCTTTTTTTATCGTCTTGCTCTTGTCCTGCACTCCCTCTGTTTATCTCGTGCTGGCTTCAGCGCTCGTCGGACCTGGCAAAAAAGAGCTCCAACAAAAACACCGAGCGGTTTTCTGCTGGGCTCGTGAGCTAAAGCAGCTCCGAGTGTCTGGACGAGGAGCCCATCTCTGGAGCCTGTTGCTATTCGCGTTGCTGGCAAAGCTCCTGCTGACTTCAAACAGGAGCAGGCCCTGAGCAGGACCCGTGGTGCGTGTCCTTCGGCTGCCCCGAAAAGGCTGCCCCAAATTTACAGCGGGTGTCACTGAGGAAGTTGTGCTGGGGCTGCGCCCTCATCCTCTGGCTGTGCAGGAGCCTTGCTGGGACAAATCCTTCTGCATCCACACTGCTCCCCGACCGTTTCCCTTGCTCAGTTCCCTCCTTCCCCTGACTCCTGCTCTTCTGTTCTTGGTTTTTGGGGGGATTAGGGGTCTGCCGTGGGCTCAGCAGCCATAAGCACCTGGAGCGGCGTGTCGATGCCTCGGGGTATTCTGCATGACATGCAGCTTAAAAGCAGATTTATGTCAACAGCAGCCATGCGGTGCTTGGGTTTGCACAAATCACAGGCTTTTCCCCCAGTGCTGAGAGGCAGGGAAGGTTAAACTGTTCAACCACAGCCTCCTCCGGCCATCCCCAAGCTCCTGCCCCTCCACCTTTTGCAGCAGGGTTTAATGAGAAGCTGTTCAAGGTGACACGCTGGGAGGCTCCTGGGCTTTGATCAGGAGGGGAATGTATCCAGCTCCACCTTCAGCGAGTCCAGAAAGAGATTTATTTCTCTTTAACTACCACGTACACAGGTCATGATGTTTGCTTCACCCTATGGAAAAACATTCCCAAAATCTCACGTCTGGTGCTCAAACCATGGGGATGTCTCTGGTGGCTGGGTGCAGCAACTCTCAGTTGTTTCAGGGGCTTTTCTTGGACATGGAGGGAGCTAATTGCATCCGTTCAGCTTCTTTTTCTTTTCTGCTGTTTGCCAGCTTTGCTGTGGTGGTGATCAGAGGGTTTGGATGGGGAGGGCTCTGCTAGTTAAACTGGGAGAGATCGCCTTGTAGGGCATGCAAACTCCTGGAGCTGGAGGAAAGAGGCCTTCATGTGACACAGAAATGGGGCCAAAAGGGTTCAGCTCAGGTGTCAGTGCCAAAAGGGTTCTGCACCTGGGTGTGTAAACTGGTGGCAGGTGGGGCTGGCTGGAAAAAGGACCTGGTTCCCTTCTGGGTGAAGGTGCAAAGAAAGAGGAGGAAGAAAGGCAACAAGCAAGCAGGTTTTGTTTTCCCAAGGACCTTTCCTAGTTGGAGAATTTCAGCTTCACCTTTTTCCTGATGGCTGCGGGAAGGGAGTTCAGCAGTTTCCCAGGGCTTGGCTCTTCAAGTTTTCCAACAGGAAGACTTAGCTTTTTTTTCAAGACTGCTTTCCCCCATATTGCCCAGGGACAGATTTTGATCTTAGGCTTTTTCAGGTGGAGAAATTCCCAGGCAGCACCCTTCTAGTGGGCTTTCCCAGCAAGTGTGCTCTCACCAGCTCCCCGGGGTGTTTGGCAGTGCCCCTGAGCACGGCTCACTGCAGCCACCTACACCCCAATGCACCTCTGGTCTGGCACAGACCAGTGCCTTCATGAGGATGCTACCCATGGGATAAAAGGAAGATGGGTGTTGGGCTGCAGTCAAGCTGCAGGGGAGTATCATAATTACAGACACTGTTTTTATCCCTGCCTCTTTGCCCCGTCCTACACTTCCAGCCAGACAGAGAAAGCCAAGTCCCCCTCGACACTTTGCCAAACTCCCCTCTTCGGGATAATGGAAAGAAGGGGGCCTCATTGGGTTTGATTCCTATGGAAATGGCACACGTTTCTCATTCTGCAGAAGCCCAGTGTAAGCTCAGCTGCCAGACTTTTACAAGAGGAATTTGCTAGGCGTGTGTGATTCACGGTTCAGACTGCTGCTTCGGCCCAGCAG